TTTTAACTGTGGATGGATTACTTTAGAGCTTAGTGTGCTATAACAAGTTAAGGACTTTTCGAGCTTCACGTCTGAGCCAAAAATGTGTAGTACTTGTCGTGCTCCACTCGTTGGGCTTCAAAAATGTGTAGTACTTGTCGAGCCCCACTCGTTGGCTTCAAAAATGTGTAGTACTTGTCGAGCCCCACGTTGGGTGCCAAAAATGTGTAGTGTACGTAGTTCGATAGATTTTTAAGTAGTTGGTCTTTTAATAGTGGGTGGTAATTACTAATAAAGAGGATCTTGTACTTCCTTCGCTAGGGATGCGCACTCTTGCTATGCTCGGGTCTAGCTCGCCGTAGGTCGGGGTTCTTTTAGCTTAGGATAGTACGAAACGCTACTACATTTTAATAAGTGCGTCTTACTCATAAATAATATTCAAAAGTGGACTACCGATTAATAAAAGAAGTGGCTTTATATTGATACTAATGATACACGCCGACACGTGTGAAGATAAACTACAGATTCTGATAAGTATTGGGAATTTTGGATGTTAATAATTCCCTAAGTCTTTACCCTCCCTACCATGACAATGCTACTTAAAATATTTACATTGTCCCTTGGCCAAGTTCAAAATAACTCTACCACATATTTAAGAAAGTGTTCAACATAAGTACTCGACAAACCATTAAATCTATTTATTCACAATTCATTATTTTTCAATATATCTTCAATCATAATTCCATTTATATAAATTCAGTTTAATAAGCGGTCTCATTAAATCTCTTTTACAAACTAACAATATTTTTATCTGCGCATAATTATCCTAGTCATTCTCTAACTCTTCATTTTTGTTTATATTCAGTGGGTAAAATAAAGTATATAAAAGTAAAGTGTAAAGCAAATATATATAAGTAATTGAATATAAAATTAGCAAATATAATTATATAATCTTTAATCAAATGCAGATATTATTTTAATTAGACGTTCGAGTGGCATTTTGTTAGAATTTTAATATGGGTAATTCAAAATAATGTTTTTATCATTGTTGTTGTAGTACTCACGACCTTAAATATCCACTCCATGATGTGCGTAAAGTTGGGCCCAAGTTCACGTTGACATTGTCGAGCTGTAGGTCAAACTTTAAAGGTTCTAAGTTAAATTCCTATTCAAATGCCAAAAGTTCCGTCAATCTGCGAGTATTTAATTCATTATAAATCGCAATACAAAAGAAAATCAAGAATCAAAACAAAACACGAAATATAACTGCAGCACTGCAGCGATAAGACCTTAGGAAACCGCTGGCTGCTACGCTGCGTTGCGATAAGACGAAATCACAAAGTTAGACCTCCGTTGGTCATAGGAGATGATCTTCACTGCGTGACGATGATGATGTTGAATTATAATTAAATCTGCTCCGGTCGTCTAAACTTCTGCATAGCTGAATAATCGGGATGAGCTCTAGCCTTCCAATATATTTGGCCAGTTATCATTCGGCAGGTGGCCGGTTGCGTAACTTGTTGGCTGAAGGTTATGTCGCCTCGTGGCCTCTTCTGGGAGCGACGGGGTTTAAACCATGAGCTGATGCGGGGGTCGACGAGACGGGGGGGGTAGTCGGCTGTAGAGCAACCAAATGCTCTTATATAGGCCGGGCCTTCCTTACGCCTTGGTGTCGAATCTCGTTGCCACTTTCATACGAATCGAACACGGAAATTTATTGAAATATCCCACTCTTGTTTTATGAGATTGGATATATATATAACTAATTATATTTCACGTGTATGCGAAGTTTAAATGGGCAGCGTCAAAAATTGTGAGCGTTCGCCACGAAGTTTTATCCGATAATGATCTAAGCTCTGGGAAGCTGCATGCTGGTGGTCGCTGTTATAGCTTTTCTTTCCCTAACTGTATAATCGTACGATAATATTCTGTCCTGATTGGTCTAAGACAATTCTCTCGCTTTTTGTTTTACACAAAAGCTGCTATAATTTAGGGCGAGGGTGTCTTGAAGAGTTATTGCAGTGTAAAGTTACGTTGGTCACTACAGAGTTTAATTGTCAGATGCAGTTAAGAATGCGATGTTTATTTAATCTCTACTCAAACGTATTGGCACTAACTGTAAGTCAGTACGAATCTTCAATGACAACCAAAGTGCCCAACAACTGGTTAAAGGGCTTGGATTTCATCCTAGGTTCAAGCATAGAAGTGGCGATATTATTATCGAATACATGCAATCAGATTGCATGCCTCCTGATGTCTTCACCGAGGTGAATGTCTCTCCTTTTCGTTACTCGTGTTCATCAAGAGAACTCTGGAACCTTTGTTCTTCTTTGCACCAAATTGTTGCCTTCTGATTCGGTATGAACATTTCTTCTGTTCATTTCGGCACAAGAACACGCCAAAAGGATATAATAATTAAATTGACACATTATGTTTTAACTAACTATATATGTTAGTTAGGCGAATCCCAAAAAATTATTGGGATTAGCTTACCCACGTTGCCACGCCCACAAGCCGTCCAAAACGCCCACACTTTTGAAAGATGTTTTAATTTTCTTCATTAATTCTTTTTTTTTCCTATTTTTATCAATATGCCAGAAGTATTTGAAAATTTCTTGTTCGCACTTCCATTAGCTGAGTAACGACAGGTGGGAAACTGGACTTTGCGTTCTCTTTTGTTTTATCTTAATGCTCACAATTTTTCTTCGGCGAACTCGATTTTAGTGTTCTCTCTTGTTTTATCTTATTGCTCACAATTTTTCCGCGAGGAAAAAAGCTAAAGAGAATGCTTTAGTCGAGTTCCCCGACTATCAGATACCCGTTTCAAAGCTAATGGAAGTGCGAACAAGAAATCTATAGAAATTTACAAGATATGAAAAATAAATTAGTAAATATCACATTTTTAAAAGTGTGACGTGACAGTTTTGGTCGAATTGTGAGCTTAGGAGTGGACGTTACTCTACGAGTAACGGGTATACAAATTATTAGCCGTACTGTCTAGTAGCATATTAAATATTTCCGCACTTATCTTTTTGAAAGGAGTCTTAAAATATACTCTGACCATGTACCGCTTGTTTGGTTACATAGCATTAAAGAGCTTAATATGATATTACAACGATGGAAAAAATATCAGAGTTTGAAAAAATACATAAAAGGATAATGGAATCACGTAGTTGTCAATAATTACAAAATAATATAAAGACGATAAAGTTGAGGAAGAAGTATATTAGAATGAAGACGATATGAATACAACTGCAGCAACGAGGCACAGTGCATATGATGATTGCATACAAACCTATGTATAAAGGACCTATTAACGTATTTAATTATGTATTTTTTTTTTTTTTGAAAATGGAAATCATGACTGCATTGAACTTACTACTTTAAAAAGTCTATTAATAAAATAATTTACAGTGACATGACTAAACTTTTAGCAAAAGAAATAATTCTAAAATATTTACATTAATAATATAATTATTTACATTAATATGGAATTAATTAAACCAAATACCAACCAAGCTAATATAAAGAATACACGAAAAAACTATACATCAAGGTATTAAAATGTCTTAAGGCGATTTAAAAACGAAATACTATTTACCGTACGTACAGAAACTTACTCTTACATGAAGTTTGTAATTTATGCTAAGCAGAGCACAGAGAAGTGGGGCGTTATAGTGGCCGTGGCAACTTTCTGAATCAAGGCGTCACTAGAGCCTGAACGTCTAATCTTGACGTTTATACGGACGGACAGACGGCAGACGGATGGACATGGCCATATCGACTCGACTATTGATCCTGACTAAAATATATATAGTGACATATGTACCATTGAAACACTTGACAGCACATACACACACAGTACATAGTACATATGTACCACAGTACCATTTGACCACTCACACACACAATATCAAACTGCCTAGCAACACATAAATCAGACCCCAAATTCTTGGTGACAATAACAACTTCGTCCGCGTTAACATAAACAAGTGATTTATAGACATAAACATCCGCCGATACAGAATTCGTTATTACCGCTAAGCAACAAAATTGCTAACGCAGCACAAATTCCTTTCTGGTAATTTTTCATGCGCAACTCTCTTAAAGAGCGCAGTCCCCTTGAACATAGAAGAGAGCCTCTTGTGCTCCATATAAACAAATTTAGCAAAAGGTTTGCTAAGCGTTCATCTCGCACTCCAGCCGATTATGAATTTTAGATTTGACTTGAAATAAACTTTCAACTTTTAATCAAACAACTTTTTGCCAACACCAACACTTCTTGAAAATGTTTTGATAATTTCAAGTATTCTTATTATTATTGTAAATTTATATTTTGATTTATCAAAAAACTTTATGCCACGCCCGCTCTAACGTTCACCAACCGATCAAAACTATCACGCCCACTCTTTTGGAAAATGTTTCGAATTTTTTGTTTCTTTTAATTTGTGTTGCAAATTTCTATCGGTATACCAAGAACACTTTGGCCACGCTCCTTCTAACGCCCACATGGCCACACTTTTGAAACATTTATTTTATTTTATTTTTTAATTGTTTTTAAAATTTTTATTTATATGCCAGAAAAATGTTGAAATTTCGCACTTCTACTAGCGTACTTATGGTATTTGATAGCTGTGAGACTCAACTATAGCGTTCTCTCTTGTTTGTTATGCACACATACTAAAAACTTAAAAAAATGAATAATATTATGACAATCAAGGCAAAGTGCGTAAACTCGTCATGGGCACTAAATTTAAACATATTACAAATTAACACAATAAGGATTGGTTTTACATTTTTAACTAATAAGTACACAGTCTTAAGCGTACTAATTTTTCTAAACTTGTTTTTATACACATTAGCCGTAATATTAAGGGTATCAGCGGCATTAAGAAAAATGTAGGGCATAAATAAAGAATTAAAAAGGAAATTAAAATTCGACTAAACAAGCGCACAAAATTAAAATTAAACGTTAAAATTTTCAAAAAGGTTTTTATAAATAATTTGCTCTTATATTGTAGGTAGCAGCGGCATTAAGAGAAATGAAGCGCGTAGATGAAGAATTGAAAAAACGTGATGGAATGTATGGGCAATTAACCAGCATCAACACAAATACTCTTGCTGATTGTGAGAGGTAAGTATAAGTATAAACTAAGAAGGTGAATTAGTGCACAGCGTTGTTATACTTCCTCAGATTTAAAAAAAAAATGTGGGCATGAGAGATTTGTGTGGCTTTTGGGCGTAAGAATAGGCGTCGAAAAAAGTTTGTTGGCAAATCTATAGAAATTTAGATACATATATTATATACTTTTCACCTCAATGGGTGAAGCAAATTTCGAATAGTTGGATGTCTATTCTATTCTTTAGAATAGTCTATGCCTGATAGAAATATTTGGTTTCCGGTGCGATGGAAATCTATCACGTATTTTTCTATCACGTTGAATATTTCCGGAGTTGTTTCAAAAGTAAATTTCGTATTTTTGTGTGTTGTTTCCGCTATATTACAGATTTTGCACTCGTTAATGATGTTCTGGATTAATTTTTGCTATCTGGGAAAAATTATTCTCCCTTAAACCATTTTTTTCTATTCCTGGATGCAAAACTTCTTTATGCCTTTTCAATATTATTGATTTATATGGTCGGAAACGTTTCGTTTTGCCTTTAACGAATCTAGTATACACTTTTACTCTACGCGTAATAAAGTGAGTAACGACTTTAAATAAGAGTATTAGACATCTGCTGTGCCTTATGTAAGTTGTTAAGATGATTTATACTTCTAAAGCTCTATTCCATAGTCTCTGCTTTCCTGCAATATTAGCTTAACTAAACTAAAGACACCTAACGGCCTCGCTCTACCGGCGCTCCGTCGACGATTCCTCGTCCTGTTCGATAGTGGAGGTTTGGGACGGTATGGTGTTACTTCCGGGTGGTAGAACCGAAATTTTGTCTTGTCCAAGGTCTGCGTATTTAAAGATCGTTTTCTTCGCCCTTGGCAAAAGGCCAGGGGTTTGTTTGGATTCAAGGTCCAAAATGTGCAGTCATTGACAGCCTGTAGAAGAGTATACTGGCGAATTGTCTGTCCCTGAATGCCTTGCGAAATTATTTGTCATAAACACCTAGCATATTTCGGTCCATGTCATTGGTCAACAAGATGTCTCCAACAGCAAATTTTTGTAAATACATCAAGAAACATCTCTGTTGTCAACTTGGACACGACTTTTTTCCCTTGTAACACAATAACACATGTATGCACAAACATATCCTTAAGTGAGGCGTTTGACTAGCCCAGCGTAACGTTTCGACTTGAATAGGTTCCATGAGGAACCTTGGAGGGTATTTGTAAAATGGTGTGAAAATGTACTGCTGGGATTTGGCAGACTCTCTGTCTTTGTAATATATATTATATTCTTGAAAGTGGTTATATCCCTTAATTTTATATGGAAGAAAAGCATTAAAATTATTAGGCGAAATGATCGTTTTATCATATGACAGAGTTAAAATCAAGAAACGGATTAAGGCTGCGTATAAAACTTTAGTTTTCTGGCAACCACACTTGTGCATGGTAAGAAGCTTAAACTCCTCGATGGCTGAGCAGCAGCAACTTAAACGCCTCATGAAGGCACGTAAGTTTTATGCCTGCGTCCTATAAAACTCGCGAAACAGCTCGCTGCAGGGAATCGTTAAAGCTCAAGCAAAGAATAAAAGGACATGTTTCTGAGTTAACAAAATGACTTTTTTACGGATGGGTGAGAGTGGAGCATTCTCCTCAAGCACGCCGCCGCCTTCGCATGTGGATTCCTCGCTGGCAAATCCACATCAAACCAATTGGTGGAGAAGATTTCTAAAATGTAAAAAAAAAAAAAAAATACTAAAGCTGCTTATCGGTCGGCATTGGAACGCCTCAAGGTATCGCTCTAAACGCGCTCAGTATACCTTTTCAATTTTTAATATACACTATCAAAGGTTTGGCTGCTGAATCTAACGGAGAGGTTGGCTAATAGAGTCAATGAAATCATGCGTGAGATACAACATCAGCAACTGTGGGGGAGTTGTTTAGGCGCTCTTTGCTATTACTTTAAACTGAGCCAAGCAACACCATCAACCAACCATTAACGTAGACAGCCGAAGCCCACACAAGTCAAAATTGACCGTGGTTAAGGTGTCTCCAATGATCAGCTTCTGTACAAATGTTAGGAATTCCAGAACTTAAATACCGATCCTTTTTAAAAGAATGGTCGCTGGGCTTCAATTGTTTTCGGTGTGGCCATTGATCTCCACAAAAAACATCCAAACATTCGTGCAAGCACTGCAATGGTCGGCTTCGCACTCTCCTTTATCCCGCAGCCACGAATGGTCATTTAATTGTTCGACCCTCTTCAACATTACCGACTATGCACAGTCGTATATGAAACAAGCTGTATTCCGTTTCTCACTGATAATATACTAGAGGATTTATACGTCGACACTGTTAGTAATGGTGGTGATAAAAACAAGGAACTAATTACTCGCAGTGACGAAGTCATTCAGATGATGTTCAAGCCAAAGCTTGAGCTGGGGAAATGGGTGTCTCGTGAAAACTCATGGTCTTATGACCATATTTACTTTGGTAACCCAAACGTTTCTAATGTGTCCACAACACTTGCTAACGTCCAGTGCACAATGTGATCCTCGTGAATTACCCGACAGCCAAAAAAACTGTTCTTCTTGGGTCACTTGATGCGAAGTTGAAGATTTGACCAAATCTGTGAATAAAAATCAAGCTGTCATAAAAGCGCTCCAAAGGGCGCTCAACAAGTCGACCTCTTCCCACAGATGATTTGGTGCTGGTCAAGGATGAGAATCATCTTCCAATGCCACTGGCTCCAACTCCTTATGATGTTTTAACAACGGAATCGAATATCGTAGATACTTAATACGGAACAATGTTATTTCTATTCCTATTATAATGTAAGGCCGCAGTCGCAGCATCAACAGCTCTCTCTCGGTTTTTCTATCCAATGCATATCAGCATTGGCACTCACTCTTCGTATCTTGATCGCTAAGCATATTTGTCGTCAAACTTTTTCGCAGCAAACATAGGTATGTTGTTGTCGCCGCTAGTCCAAGCGCAAATGCACAAGAAAAAAATGTATAACGTTTCCCAAATTAGGCTGAGTTTTAATTTGAAAAAAGCTGGCAGCGCAAACATAGTGAAAAGCAATAGCAGGACGTCTGGCCAACAAAAGAGCCAATCTTCGCCGTTACCTCTGCACTCTTGACCCGGTCGACAAGGTGCAATTCCCCAGGAGTGCAAGAGAGCTGTGAAAGGCCCTAAAAATTCTCCCAAAGCGAGCATTTATTCTGATCACATATATTTTAAATGCACCCAAGCAATGGAGGAGTGCCAGGATCTCTATGATTCTCAAGCCAGGGAAGCTAGAGCATGACCCTAGTTCATACCGGTCGATCAGTCTTCTGCCTTCTTTATCGTAGGTATTTGAAAGACTGCCAACAAAACTTGGACAACAAATTGGGTCACCAATTTGTATTCCGCCCTAGACACAGCACAAGCATTCGATATGGCATTCGAGGTATTCGATCGTGGAGATCGTGCTCTTACTACATCGTCAGAATACGAATATCCATTCATTTCATGAATGGGCCAGAAAGTAGAACGTAATTGTTACTGCTCAAAAAAGCGGAAACGTCTGCTTCACATTAAAACGTGGAACTCCGCCAGGAGTAGTCATCAATGACACTCCTGAGTAGGCAATTAAAGCTAAATACATTGGCCACACACTAGAATCTCTCTTGATAGAGGCAGAAATTATCAATGACACTCCTAATGGGAAGTCAATGAAAGCTCAATACCTTGGCCTCACGTTAAATTCTTACTCGACTTTCCATGAGACATAATGAATGGAAGCTATACTGGCTGCTCAATAGGAAAAGGGGTAGCTTGCTTCGATGCAAGCATTAATTTACCAGCAAATTATTGCTCCTACTAGGCACTATGGAAATAATTGGTAATCAATCCAATTATCCTATAATAAGGCAAATATAGTCTAGGCGAAATACCAGCATTAGATTTTCATCAGGTTATGTTTATGTGGTCTAATTCCTAATGAAAATTATATTTAAAAAAAATTATTTTTTCACTTTGGAATTACTCATTTATTTACTAAGGAGGCTGGAGGCCTTAACAAATAAGATTAAGGCAAAAGTATTCATCTATGACAAATAAAATGAAAAAATGTATGAAAAAAAAAAAATTAAAAAAATTTGCATTAAATAGTTTCATTAAACTAATCTAGCATATGTTAAGATGAGAAGTAGCGAGTTTTGCATTCGAGATGCCATCGAGTGCGGAAGTATGTGGGCTTGCGGCGCGAACAAGGATTATATTTTGTATTGCACTTGGACGTATAGAGTGTGGAAATGATTAATAAATAAAAGAGAGAAAAGCAGCAACGAGTGCAGACGTGCACAAGCAAAAGTTCTCAGAAAAATGCATGTAAAGTTAAATGACTTAAAGATTAGTGATTTGGACGTTAAATTGATACTGACGACTACGAAATATTGGAACAAAACCCAAGCACAAGTGTCTAAACATGTGTTTAGACATGAGAAGTAGACAATCTATAAATATGTTCTATTTAAGGGCTGCAATAAACATGTCACGGGACAGCATAAGTGGCACCTACAGATAAGTACGATTGCAGTGGGCTATTGCCGAAGTGTCAAGAGATATGATCACGCGGGAGGTGACTAGCGCGGTCATAGGCTTCAAACATAGATTTAAGATAAACCTCAGCTGCATTGACCAACGCAGACTGCAGCGTCTTACAAGCGCTGCATTATATAATTAGATGATAAGAACCTATGTAAGAATGAATAAAAGGCGATGCCCTCGCAGTAGCGAGTCAGTTAGATTCAAACACCCGAATTGAACTCATTAAGTGTACGCATTAGTTTATAGTGTGAACAACAAGTATGCAAGCTCAAATCAACGATTTAAAGGAGATGGTGGCAAACTTAACAACGATGGTCCAAACGATGTGCACGCAGCAACAAGGTCAAGAGCAAGGGACTGTGAACTCGCCAACGGCACACGTACGGGCAACAGGCGAGACGCTGGATGGATCGAGGCTCAAGGTTTTGCAAGCATCAAAGAAATTATGGGAATTCTGCCAATCACGGGATCTAATACATCGGATCAATTCATTGCAAGGGTAGAGCAACTACAAACCGCATATATGCTGTGCTGTTTGCAGTGCAAAATAATATGCGGGGAGTTGCAAAAACATGGCTGGATGCACAGCAGGTATATCGATAATGGGATCATTTCAAATCGGCATTCGCGCTCGATTTTCCAAGTGTGGTGAAAACCGCCGATGTGCACAGAGAATTGATGCGACGCAAGCGACGCAATAGCGAGTCACTGATCGAATGCTTTAATGCGATGTTATCTATCGGACGATGTGCAAGTATTGATGAGCCATCGATAAATTCATATATAATATTATCAACGGGCTTAATTCACAAGAACTCTGAGCTTCTAAAGTCCTTGGAAAATCTGAGATCTGCACAAGGTATGCAGAAACAACAATATAAAGCTGTAACAATTAATGAAAAGCAAAACAACGATGCTGATGGCAAGATGAATTAAATTAAATGTTATAACTGCAATCATTTTGGCACTTTGCAGCAAAATACTCAGAGCCACAGCGAACGGTGTTCCAAAAGTTCTAGGACTGGGCATAATTCAGAGGATTGCAAGGTGAAACCAGGATTATCCACCAATAATAAAAACAGTTCTGATTGGAGGTCAAAAGCGTTCATCGACACGGGCAGCGATAACACACTCATTAAAGAAGCAGCAGTGCAGAGGTGCAATACGGCAGCCAAGGGTCAAATTGAAAGAATTGAAGAACGGGATAATTTAAAGAAGCAAGTCAACGCATGCAGCATCAGCAATTTTGGTGCCAGAGGCAAACGGAGAACGGAGGCTATGCGTGGACCTATCCATTAGCAAATTATTGAAAAAGGATGTGGATTTTGTATGGGGAGAAGATCAGGAACAGGCGTTTCAACGACTAAAGGAAGCCTTAGCATCGAAGCTGGTGTTGACCCTGTACGACCCAACGAAATATCATGAAGTACCCACTGATGCGAGTAAACTGGGAATAGCAGGAATTATGTTTCAACAAGAAGAAGACGGAACGAAGCCTGTATTTTATTATTGCCGCCTATGCAGCGACGCGGAGAGCAGATACTCAAATGTTAAAAATATGCGTTGCGTTAAAAATATTAGCAAATGACCTCGACAGAGTCAAATTGTTTAAATAAAATAAAAATGTAAAATAATTTGAATTCTACATTTAGCTTATAACTTAATGGATTGGCATAACATAATTGCTGACATTGAAGCCTCCGTAAAGAATTTCATAAATCTATTAAGAGATTATATTCACCCACAGAAATCAAATTAGTCAATATCATGGCACAATCAGTAGTAATATTTTTGTACGACAGCAAGGCACAAAATAAAATGTATAATGCGAGTGGTAGGCTGTAGCCATATATGACTACTAGGAATCTAAACAGTACAAAAAACACCATCGCCAAATTGTAGCTAAGCTTTTAAGAACAGTTTATTTTAATATGATAGTAGATGATAGTAGTCATCGGCTCTTCTAAACACATATTCAAAAACCTAACAGACATCTTTGCATTGTGCACAAAACACAACTTAAAACAAGAGAGAAGCTATAGTCGAGTTCCCCGAATATTAGATATCGTTGATTAACTAGCTGATTAGCTAGTAGAAGTGCGAACGCGAAATATCTTCGGTAGAGTGGGCGTGGCAAAATTTTTTTGGAAAATCTATAGAAGTTTACAAGACTAATAAATAAATTAAAAATGAGCGTTAGAGTTGGCGTAGAAACATAATTTAAAAAACTTGCGCTGCGTCTATGTTTTCTAGCTTTCTAGATTTTGTAGTTCCTGAGATCTCGACGCTTATACAGACGGACGACATGGCGAAATTGCTTCGACTATTGATCCTGATCAAGAATATATATACCTTATATGGTCGGAAAGGTTTCCTTTTGCCTGTTACATAATTTTCAGCTAATCTAGTGTACCCTTTTACTCTACGAGTAACAGGTGTAAAAAGCACAAGAATCATAAAATGTCGCTGAGAAGCAATAAATTAGTCAAAGCATATTTAGGCCAATCCCTCTTGCACTTAAAACAGTAGAAAGAAGTAACGGTCCAATTAAATGTTAGATATATACAATAAAATTTTCTCTGTTTAATATTTCAGATTAATACAAGAGGAACTAAGCGTGCTGGCTGATATTTCTGATGAAATTCAAGCCTCAGTCAAGCCACTTAACGATAATAATACTTCTGAAAGCAATACTACCAGAGCTTTAATCCAACAGGACACCGTTGACCTGGACAATATATTTATCTTCTTATGTGAATCAAATGGATCATTTGATAATGCCCTAATAGGAGAAATAAATGACAACATGAATAACTTGGTTAAAGATCTTGACGAAGAAGTAAGTATAGCTAAAAGTATATATAGATCACATGCTTTATAATAATAATACATCACAGTATATATAGATCACATGCTTTATAATAATAATACATCACATGCTTTATAAAAATAATATATAGTTTTCAAAAGAAAATGTAAGAAATTACGCAGAGTCCGATATTGTTATACATGTCTAAACATGTGTTTAGACAAGATAAGTAGATAATCTATAAATATGTTCTATTTAAGTTCGATGGTAGTTCGATTTACTACTAACAACAATGCGCTGGTAAAATTGGGAGTTGGCGATCATCAATATTTTAATGATAAAATATTTATTAAAACTATGGATGCTGTCAAGGCCTACAAGGAGTCGCAATTAAAGGTAGAAACACTTGAAGAAATAAATATACCAAGTGGATCAAAATTATCTGATAGCGCATCAGCTCGGACCTCCAGTCCAGTTGATAATCTGGTTCAACTGGTGGATAGAAGAGCGGACAGGGTGAGGCAACAGATGAGCCTAATCTACGAAACCCTGGATAGTTCAAGTGAGATTGAACTAGTCAAGCAGCTGGCAATGATGAAAAGTCATTGGTCCAACGTGACGGACACACTGAAACTGCTTGAAAACAAGTATGACAGAACTGTCTTTGATCAAGATGAGGCAGACATTCTGCAATCTGAAGTTGCCGCACTAGAGATGGTACTTCAAATGAAGTTGGAACTGTTCAAAAGTTCCAACTGCGACGTGCCAGAACTCCCAAAAGTGGACCTTCCAACGTTCAATGGAAATGCGAAGGAATGGCCAACATTTTTCGATCTGTTCTCTGAACTAATAGACAGCAGGAAAGATCTCAGCAACACAAGGAAGCTGGGATATTTAAGAGCCTGCTTAAAAGGAGAAGCTCAAATGGTGGTTAGCCATTTGATAACGGGATCAGCAGCTAGCTATGCAGCAGCGTGGGAGCTTATCTGCAAACGCTATGAGAATAGCAGAAAAATATTCTCCCAACACATCAACAAATTAATGGAATTGGAGTGCTTGCTGCCCCATGATGAGAAAAATTTAGGGAAGTTTTTGGATACTGCGACCGAGAGCATATTCATCATAAAGCAAAAAGGGAAAATAGGAAGCTCTGCTGACGTAATTTTAACAGAAATTCTGCTGCGGAAATTTTCGCCAGAAGCCTTGCTGCTGTATGAACAGCATGTAAAAAAGGCAAGAGCTATACAGTCCTTACAAGATGTACTGGAGTTTATTGAGCAACAATACAACTCAGTAAATGCCATTACCAAAAATACCGCTCAGCTTGCTACAAGAAAAGTGCAAGTTAGATCGTGTGCCTTTTGCTCTAAGGATGGCCACGATATGATAAAGTGTCTCAAATTCAGAGCACAATCAATCGAAAAAAGAAAAGAATTCGTTCAAAAGAACAACATGTGCTTTAGATGCTTTGGAAAGCATAATGCTATCGACTGCAGAAAGGAAATTACATGCAATCGATGCTCCAAAAGACACAACAGCCTTCTGCATGAAGACACAAAACGCAGTATCAACAGCAATAGCCTTAAGCAAGGCCAAGACACACTATTGGCTACAGCTGTTGTTTTAGTGAAAAACAAAGCTGGAGGTTACAACGAGTTGAGGGCGCTTATTGACGGTGGATCCCAGAAGACGCTGATTTCAGAGGAAGCAGCACAAATATTAAGGATTCCCAGAGTAAGGAGTACTATAGAGGTCGAAGGTATCTCCCAGACTACTCAACTATCAAAAAATAGTGTCCACCTAACGATCAAACCAAAAATTCCAAGCACCTTCAAAGCATCAACGGAAGCATTGGTTTTACCAACACTCCATAGAGCCCTTCCCAGCAAAAAGTTTGATATTGATATCAAAGGGCTACAGGCTAGCAGATCCACGATTCAACGAGCCAAGCAGAATTGATATGGTGATAGGTGTAGATCTATTTCCCCTGATTATGATGGAGAAAATAAAAACCGTGAATGGAATCTTGGGACAAAAAACCAAATTTGGATGGATTGTGTCCGGAAATATAACTCGAGTAGCAAAGCAAAAAATTATAAGTGCCACTACAACAATAAATCTAAACGACCTGGAACTCTTTTGGGAATTGGAAGATGAAACCGATGAGACGATTACAGACAATGCAGAATGCGAAAGCAAATTCCAAGAAACAACTGTAATCAACGAGGAAGGCAGATTTGTGGTTTCAATTCCATTCCACCAAGAGGCAATGCTTGGGGACTCTCGCAAACAGGCAATGGCAAGGCTTATGCAAATTGAAAAGAAGTTTCAAAGAAACCCAAAGAACTGGGCTCCATACAACGAATTCATGAAAGAATACCTTAAGATAAGACATATAAAATCTGTAAAGACAACGGGTCAAGGTAAATAATACCCCATCAAGCAATCATCTGGCCTGGAAGCTTAACTACGAAGTTACGAGTAGATTTTGACGCATCCGCAAAGACGACAAATGGACTAAGCCTAAATGACGTTATTATAGCTGGCCCTAAGATTCAAAAGGATATATTCGATATTCTAATTAAATGGCGCAAGTGGCAATATGTTATGGTAGCTGACATTGAAAACAATAATGAGTTAGCACCTACACTAGAAAAAGAAGGCATCAAGTGGCACTTTATTCCCCCGGGAAGCCCCCACATGGGAGGTTTATGGGAAGCCGGTGTAAAATCAGTGAAGCATCACCTTAAACGAGTTATTGGTGAAAACAGCTTTACATATGAAGAATTTGCATCGCTGCTATGTGAAATCGAAGCAGTGCTAAACTCGCGCCCATTAGTCACTGTAAGGAGCGAAAACGATGAGGACATATTAACGCCGGGTCATTTTCTGGTGGGAAGACCTCTAATTGGAGCTCCTGAACATTTTGACGAAAGTAAGACAATCAGCTCTTTGGATAGATGGAAGCTTATTCAACGCATCAGACGTGATTTTTGGAAGAAATGGAAAGGGGAGTATCTGGTGTCATTGCAAAAGCGAACCAAATGGCGTCAAGAAAAGCCAAATCTGAAGGAGGGACAGCGGGTTCTTATAAAACATGAGAACACTCACCCTGCAAGATGGCCAATGGGAAGAATCATTAGTACGACTAAAGGACAAGATGATAAAGTCCGGGTAGTCACGGTTAAAACAAGCGATGGGGAAGTAAAAAGATCGCTAAACAAGATCTGTCAACTTCCTGTTAGCGAAGCAAAACCAGCTGGAGCTGGAACGCATAAATGATAGACGACTACTGGCCGTACATTTTTCCGCCCCGGAGAATGTCTAAACATGTGTTTAGACATGATAAGTAGACAATCTATAAATATGTTCTATTTAAGGGCTGCAATAAACATGTCACGGGACAGCATAAGTGGCAACTACAGATAAGTACGGTTGCAGTGGTCTATTGCCGAAGTGTCAAGAGATATGATCACGCGGGAGGTGACTAGCGCGGTCATAGGCTTCACGCTGCAACCTGGTATAGGGTATAACTCACAACTATCAAGTAGACAGACAATGTGCAATGTATATCCATTGGATCATTAGGTTAGAACACTTCTGGACCTTCTTTCTGCAATACCGGATGTACTAAAGATAAACAAAAAGACATATAATATGATGAACATATTCATCATGATTAGTTAAAATAATATTAGTCCAATTGCATATACATCCTATAGATAGAACGCTATAGTCAAGTGCCTCGACTATCAGATTCCCATTACTCAGTTAGTGAAACTAAAAATATAGAATTTATTTTTTTTCAATTGTCAACTTTGATCGCTTATTGCTGTTGCTTTTGTACTCAGAAACGAACATAACGAACATAACATACAAAAGCAAACGAAAGAAGAAGTGGAAAAAATAACTGTTCATGGGCTAAAAATAGAAGCATTGAACTGATGCTAGTCTGTTGTCAGAAGTATTTACACACAATTTTTACGCGTCAAAATTATTCACACACAGCTTTTTTAATTGATTTTTGCTTTTTTTATTGAATTTAAACGAAATATTTTATATTTCACATATTATATTTTAATATGTGATTATGTTAAGCCAACTAATATCTAGTTACTCCGCCTTTGGCATCAATGACTGCTTGGAGCCTTGCTGGTATTGACCGGACCAAGTTGTGCGCAAACTCAAGAGGTAATTTTGACCAAATTTCCGTAATTTCGGCTATAGTTTCATCGCGCTGGCGATCTGTTTCAAATGTCCTCTGACTCTTAACATAAGCCCAGACATTTTCGATAATGTTCAGATCGGGGCTTTGTGCGGGCCATGGAAGTACCGCCTGATTTATGTCTTTCAAGAACTTGGTTGGTACTCGGCCCTTGTGGCACGGAGCATTGTCCTGCTGCAAGATCCAGTCATTTGTGGAGAACAGTCTATTTCCTGAGGTTAATGCGTACTCATTTAAGATATGTAGGTATCCTGTTTGATTTAGTGTACCCTCTATCGGTACCATGTCTCCAAATCCATAGTAGCTTAAACAGCCCCAGAACATCACCGTGCCACCACAAAACCGATTGATTGGCTGGACGGCATTACCCTTTAGTTGTTTTGGGAGATGCATAAATTGCTTGCTAAAGGATCCCTGAAACTGAAACGCAACTTCATCAGTCCATAAAACATCGAACCAGAACTCGAGAGGCTTCTCTTTATACTCCAAGGCAAATGCGAGACGTTTTTACTTATTTTCTTGGGGTAATATCAACTACTGCACGAACAACATAGGTTTTGATGTAAACTTCCTTCATTCTGCGACGCAGTGTACTATCGCTAATATGTTTTCCAATTAAAATTTTCATAAACAGTTATTTTTCCACTTCTTTTTTCGTTTGCTTCTGTATAGATGTAGAAGCACGACAAATACCGTTATGTTCGTTTCTGAGTACAAAAGCAGCAGCAATAAGCGATCAAAGTTGACAATTGAAAAAAAGCACGTTGTGTGAATACTTTTGACCACCTCTGTAAATAAAAAAAAA